CGGACCCCGCTGCAGGCGGCGCTGCAGGTCTGGGGCTGTGGGACGCAGCAGAGAGCGTTGGCTCCCACTCCAGCTGGGGTCTCATCTGGGGGCAGCCTAAAGCCCCACCCACAAACTCCACCCACCAGAGCTATTCTGGGGGGGGGGCCCCTGCAGGGCAGGAGGACTAGTTTGATGGTGTGTACCTGGGGTGGGAGCAGCAGGGGAGGTGGAGGGGAGGAGGAGATGGGGGGATGTTCGTGTACCAGAGGTGTTTCTGCAGGCGTCTCCCACGCAGCAGGCGACACTCACTCTTCTTGTCATTTGGTACCCAAAATCCACAGAGCCAGGGCCGGCTTTGCACTGGCTGGACGTCACGCAGCTCTTCAGGATGCTCTGGGACTTCACTTCCGCTGCGCCGGGGAGAAACGTGAGATTCATTCCTCTTCCGTCCCACTGGCAGCCTCTTCACAGCACAGCCCCTTTCCCCATGGGGAAACTGAGGCACGGGGGGGGGGTGGAAGGGAAGCAGAGTCTAGTGGTTAAAGTGAAGGAGGGGCAGGGATGGAATTAACTTCTCCAGCCCCCCCACTCCATGGCTGCCTGACCCTGGCGCCCCCAACTCTGCTGACCCGCGGTCCTTTCATTGCCAGAGTTTCTTACCAATGGATACGTGCAGGGCGGCTGAAATCTCAGCACCGGGAGTCCAGCTCAGCCCTTAGCCACGGTGGGACTCATAAACCAGGTGTTCCCTGCCTCATGTGTCCTGCCTCATCCAGGGGACGCCCTAGGACCATGGCTGCCTGACCCTGGCGCCCCCAACTCTGCTGACCCGCGGTCCTTTCATTGCCAGAGTTTCTTACCAATGGATACGTGCAGGGCGGCTGAAATCTCAGCACCGGGAGTCCAGCTCAGCCCTTAGCCACGGTGGGACTCATAAACCAGGTGTTCCCTGCCTCATGTGTCCTGCCTCATCCAGGGGACGCCCTAGGACCCTGCCCACCGGCTCGCCCCTGCACAACGGGTGTACCCGAATTCCCACTTCATACTCAGGAGCCCAGTGGGTTGGATGCTCCCCATGGATGTGGGGGGCGAGGGGGGGACAGAGAGACCCACCCAGAGGCTGGGCACAACCATGGGAGGGGGGAGATCTGGGCGGAAGTCCCCAGCCTCATTTCAGCCAGTGGGGATTTGGGCCCCCCCGGCCCAGTTGGGGGTCTCAGGGAAACCCCTCAGCCACAGCCATCCCCTGCCGGGAAGGGCTGGCCTGGTCCATGCACCAGACTCCTGGGGAGGGGCAACTGTCCATGGATCCCATCCAGAGCTGGGCGCCTCCATGAAGCCAAAAGGGGCCAAACTCCGGGGGAGGGGCGGGGCTTAGGCCACACCCTCTCCTCGGCATTTCCTATTGGCTGGTTTTGGCCCATCCCCTGCTCAGTGGATTCCCGAGGCAGTTACCGGGGATGCATCCACCCATCCGGCTCCCGGCCCCAGGGGTGGGGTAGAGCAAAGCCCAGGTATCCCGGCTCCCCCTCCGGCGCCAGCCCCCAGCCCACCTACCCAGCGTGACTTCGGTGAGGAAGATGCCGCAGGAGTCTTGCCCGGCGGGGCAGGGCTGTAGGCTGCCCGAGCAGTTATGTCCTTCTGCGGCGCACACCTCGCACTGCAGGCCGGCCCCTGGGGACGGAGAGAGAAGAGGACGGGGCTCGATTTGTCCCTTCCTTGCCCCCTTCATGCTCTCCTAAGTTGACCTGGCCCCAGCTTCAGATCTGGCCCCACTGGCCCCCAGGGAGCGATGGCCCCTCGTCCCGCAACAGGAGCCGGGCTGCAGAGTCGCCGTTACAATTGGCCCTGTTCCTCGTGTTACGGAAACTGGTTCTGTGCCAGAGCCGAGAGACCAGGCGAGAGACCAGGACAGGTTTCCAGTGATTTACAGGGTCACTTGCCTCCCGTGTCCATGGTTGTCCCCTCACTGCCACGGGGACTGTACGGCCCCCAGCCCTCTCCCCTCGCCCTCTGTCACCTGGACACCCCCCGCCACCGCTCGGCTCCATTAACGAGCAGGGCCCCCGGCAGACAGCTCGGCGCTGTGGGCACGTTGGCGAAGGTGGGAAATGGGGGACCCAGCCCCACTCACCGGTGCCCAGCAGAGCAGCGAGGAGGCAGACAGCCAGAGACACCGTCATGGTGCCGGGAGCAGGTGATCGGCGCTGGGGTCGCCGGTACGGCCCAGTCTCCGGCCGGGGGGCGATCCCAGATGGGCTGCAAGGAGATCAGAGGAGGGACAGCTCATGCGCCATGTGGAACTGGAGCCGTTTGCCACAGCTCTGGGGCAGCCGCACCCCAGACCACTCCAAGGCTCGTACATTTGTGGCACCCCCCGGATCAGTCAGAGAGCAACCTGGCATGCTCCGGCTGGAAGGCTGCAGTGGACGGTGACTGGTTGTGGGACTCCGGAACCATCAGACACAACAACACACCAGAGACACAAACAAAGCCGGCTGCTCCCAAGAGCAGTGAGAAGCAACTCAGCCCGCCTTGTTCCGCGCTGGTTCTGTCCAGACTCTCGGTTCTCTCCCCAGCTCTGGGAGTGGCGTGGGGTCTAGTGTGCCTGGGCGCTGGGAGACCTAGATTCTAGGAGAGTCATGCCTAGTGGTTAGAGAGTGTGTGTGTGTTGGAGGGAGGGGGGTTCCGGTGCCTTGTTCCAGTCCCTGCTCCAAGAAGGAAGCACTATATGGGGTTAGGGGTCAGGATTCCATCCTTGGCTTTGGAAGGGCAGCGGGGCCCAGTGGTCCAAGCACCAACAGACCCGAGGGCTGTCACTTACCAACGGCTCCGCAGAGAGACGTGTGCCGGGGGTGACGTCAGGGGCTACGTCGGCCAAGTGGAGAAGCTGGGCCCGTCGCTCACGCGTTCCGATCGGAGCAGGCCCGTCTGTGTCGTGCCGTCTCGTTTTTATAGACGGGCTCGGGTGCCCGCTGTGATGCAAGACAAGCCCTATTCAGATGTTCCTGCTTTATCAGGCGAGCGTGTGCTTTTCTACTCCCCTCGCTGGCCCTGCCCATCCCTCGGACGTCAGTGCACAATGAAAAACTATTCGCTCTTTCTGCCAGGGAATTGGATTAGAGGAATGAATCGAACCAGCTGCCTTGTGGTTGCAAACGGGTCACAGAAGGACAGGGCAGCCGGATGCCTGGGTTCTGATTCGGGTGCGTAAGGGCAAGGTCCTCTCCTTGGAATGCCCCATTTCAGGAAGGCTCCGGATCAATTCAAGACAGTCCAAAGAAGAACAACAAACATGATGAAAGGTCGAGAAAACATGGCATCTGGTTGTTACAGGAAGAAGAATGGGGAATTATTCTCCTTGGCCTTTGAGGATAGAACAAGCAATGGGCTTAAACTGCAGCAAGGGAGGTTTAGGTTGGACATTAGGAAAAAGTTCTTAATTGTCAGGATGCTCAAACACTAGAATAAGTTCCTGGAAGGGTTGTGGAATCTCCATCTCTGGAGATATTGAAGAGCAGGTTAGATAAATGTCAATCAGGGATGGTCTAGACAGTATTTGGTCCTGCCGTGGGGGCAGGGGACTGGACTTTAGGTCCCTGCCGGTTCTACGGTTCTAGGATTCACTGAGAAGGGGGCTGCAGTGGTGAGGGAAGTGGGGGTGAGCACCAAGGTGCCTGGTGGAAAGTGGAACATTGTAGGGTCGGGGGAGGGGTTGGAAATCCGAAATCCCGGTTTCATGAGCACGTGGGGCCTAGTCAACGCAGGAGGAAGGGGCCTTTGGGTCAGGGCTGCTGGGTCCCCTTGAGAAGTGAGCAGGGCATCAGGACTCCTGGTGGTCCGGGTTCTGGCTCAGAGGATGTGACCTCATTGGAAGCTGAGGTGAACAGACCCAACACTGTTACAACTGCTGTTCTCTGGCTGCCCCAAGCCCTGTGCAGAGCAGCCAAGGGAGGGGTCTGTCGAGAGCCGAGGGGTCGCTGGGTACGTTTATGCCATTCGGGTGCATGTGGCCGTGTTGTGAGTGGAGTTCTAAGGACGGGCTCTGTATGTGGCTTTCCAATCTTTGCTTCTGGGAGACCTGAACAGGCTTTGCCCACCTTCCATGGAAGGGTAGCCAGTCACGTGACTAGCAGCACTTGACTGACAATGCACCTCAAGCGGGGCCAATCCGCATCCGAGGAGCTTTGCTGTGAATGTTCAGGCCAGCTCGGAAGTGACGGCCCCTAAGGGCCCCTAAGGTGGCTTGTCCATGTGACAAACCACATCGGGGCTGAGTGTCACTCACGGAGAGCAATGAGAGTCCCTCCACGTGAGCAAGGGTGTGAAGAGGGCCCGGGGGTTCCTCCATCCTTGTCTTCACTCCTCCAGCCCATCATGTCAGCAGCATCTTTGCTCTCCACGGAGTCCGGAAGGGCTGATGGTCCATCCCCACAAAGGGCGCCCTCCAGAGACTTATACGCCAGCAGATTATTCTGGCTCTGCTACTGGGCGGCACCAGGAACTTTGCAATTGGTGCCTGCAATTTCTTTCCTTCCACAATTTCACTCTCATCCTTTCCTTTCTTTCACCTTTAAATGTCAGATGCTAACGGACTGGCCCAGGGGGCTCATTTGGGTGAGATGTGAGGTGCAAACTGACCTAGGACTGGGGCTGGCCCCTTGGGACTGAGAGAACCTGTTCAGGGTTGGTGAGATGGGTTAGAACCTCTCCCCTGTGTAAGGTGGGGCGGGGGGGGGCACAGGGAGCACTGGGATGTGTGAGGGGAGGTGGGGGATGGGTTCTAACCTCTCCCCTGTGTAAGGTGGGGCGGGGGGGGGCACAGGGAGCACTGGGATGTGTGAGGGGAGGTGGGGGATGGGTTCTAACCTCTCCCCTGTGTAAGGTGGGGCGGGGGGGGGCACAGGGAGCACTGGGATGTGTGAGGGGAGGTGGGGGATGGGTTCTAACCTCTCCCCTGTGTAAGGTGGGGCGGGGGGGGGCACAGGGAGCACTGGGATGTGTGAGGGGAGGTGGGGGATGGGTTCTAACCTCTCCCCTGTGTAAGGTGGGGCGGGGGGGGGCACAGGGAGCACTGGGATGTGTGAGGGGAGGTGGGGGATGGGTTCTAACCTCTCCCCTGTGTAAGGTGGGGCGGGGGGGGGCACAGGGAGCACTGGGATGTGTGAGGGGAGGTGGGGGATGGGTTCTAACCTCTCCCCTGTGTAAGGTGGGGCGGGGGGGGGCACAGGGAGCACTGGGATGTGTGAGGGGAGGTGGGGGATGGGTTCTAACCTCTCCCCTGTGTAAGGTGGGGCGGGGGGGGGCACAGGGAGCACTGGGATGTGTGAGGGGAGGTGGGGGATGGGTTCTAACCTCTCCCCTGTGTAAGGTGGGGCGGGGGGGGGCACAGGGAGCACTGGGGTGTCTGAGGGGATTAGTTTGTGAGGCTCCTTGCTGGCCGGAGTGGTCGCTCAGGTGCTCGGGGTGGCTGTTTGGTGCCTGACAGGGGAGGACCCCAGGCCCGGGCTGCATGTTGCCCTGGGTCTGAGCAATTCGCCCGGATTTGACCCTCTCCGTGGTGCCCCCAGACCCTGTTTCAGCGCCCGGCCACCGCTCACCCCACGGCTCAGCCTCCCAGGAACTCTGCCCCGTTTCTCGTGACTCCTGCTCTCATGGAACAGTTAGCTCCTCTCTGAGGCCCGGGGGAGCAGCAGGTGGAACCGGTCTGACAGCCAGGCACCCGAGGGCACGGCGCCAGCCCGTCGACAGTCCTGTTCTCCCGCCTCCGACTCTCCCAAGACTGACATGGGAGCCGTTGCCCATCCCCGTTTCTTTCGGCTGAGAGCGTCTCCCTCCTTTGGGGCACATTCAGCACCATTGGGCTTTTCTGTGCTCCCGCCCCCAGAATCACAAGCCAGAAAACCCCTCTTGCGCAATGCAGTGTGACGGCGCGTTGGGGGTCCCCCGTCTCCTGCACCCCGAAATGGCACAAACAGACTGCACCAGCCGGTGGAATAGAGGAAGTTTATTGCCTCTCCAGGTTACAGCACAGCACAGATGGAATCTGGTCACAGAGCTGGGCTAGGATGCCTCAGGCCCCCTTGAGATGGGGGGAGACTGGGCCTCTAAACTCCAGCCCCTTTCCCTAGGCTGTCTCCTCCATGCTCCCAGACAGCAACTAACCAACCCTCTTCCAGCCCTGCCCCACAGCCAGGGCAGCATTCCACCTTCCTTTGTTCCTCTCCATGGGGCGTGTCTGGCTATACGGGTTGAGAGATCCCTTTGCATAGTGACTCATCCTGTTTTGCTGGGTCGTGGTACCCACAGCAGCCAGTGGGGGTTACCCCAGAGCCAGCAGCATAGAAACCAGCCAGGTACCCCCACTACGTCACACCCCCGCCCCCAGAATCGCAAGCCAGAAAACCCCTCTGGCGCGATGCCGCGACGCCGATTCTTTTCGGGAAGAACGGCGTTGTGCCAGAGGGGTTTTCTTGCGCAGGGAGGGGCCATGTAGATGCTCCTTCTGGCGCCAGAGCCTCTTCTGCAAAAATGGCGGCACATGAGGTATGCAAATGAGGCTCGGCGATATTCCACGCTTCGCCTCATTTGCATATTTCTCACGCAAGAAGCCGCGAGTGTAGACATAGCCCGGGAGGGGAGAGAGAGGGACGGCCGGGCTGGGGAAGATCCGGCCAACCAAGCTCCCAGGCTGCAGGGCCTGAAGCAAGGCCTGAAACTACTAGCGTTGTGAAGGGCAGCCCCAGTAGGCGGGGGCAACAGGTCACCCCCCTTTACCAGTACTGAGTGGCCATTTCAGTCTGCAGTTTTCCCCTGAGGCAGGGGCTAGATGGAGACTGGCAGTGGGTCACTGAGGCCAGGTGGGTCCAGGGGAACTGGGGTTCCTGGGAAGAGAAACCTGGGGAGTCACCAGCTAGAGGGAGGCGTCCAGTGAGCCAAGCCAGCTAATTCCCAGAGCAACCAACTGGAGGGGCCGTGGGGGGTGAGTTGGCTCTGTGACAGGGCCCCTCCAGGCTCTGGGGTGGGGCCAAACTGAGGGGTTCAGTGTGTGGGAGGGAGGCTTGGGGCAGGGGGAAGGGTGCAGGAGTGGGCTGCAAGGGGAGCCCTGAAGCATGGGGGGGCCAGATCCAGGCAAGCCAGGGGCCACATCTGGCCCCATGGCCTTTGGTTCCCTACCCTTGCTTTAGGGCAGTGTTTCTTAAGCTTTTTAAGACCAAGGAACACCAAACAATATATTTTTTAATGTGGCCCACCAATGAAAAAAAAAAGTCGGGGGGGAAAGTTATTGAGCAAAAAAAAAAAAAGTTGCCTGCCCCTTTAAGGGTGTCCATTTGGCATACCGGTGTTCCGTGGAACATAATTTAAGAAACACTGCTTTAGGGGGTCATAGTATTGCCCCCATTACCTCTGGGCTGCCTTCAGAGCTGGGTGGCTGCTGGATGATGTCCTGGCTTTGCAGTCAGAATAGTTGTGATGGGCCATATTGCCTGTCCAATCAGCCTGAGCGCCCTCACTCTGCCCTGCCAAGCCCGGCCCTCAAGCCTCCCCCCAGCACACACAGTCGGGGACCCCCTCCAGCTGCAAAAAGGCCCTGAAATAAGCTCTGCATGGGTAGGTTCTGCCAGGGCATTGCTTCAAGTGCCCACCCCCAGGGCAATGCACACCCCAAACTGCACAGTGACCTGTGCAGAGGGTGCGCATGAAATCCACCCCCCACTTCAGGAAGGAGAGAGAGGAGTGTGCCGCTTTCATCCCTTCCCCCCACGTACAAAACCCACACACTGGTTCCAGAAAACATAAAAAACAAGTTTATTTATTTAGGACCAAAAGATGGGGATTACGTGATGACCAGGGATAGCAAACAGATCAAAGCACGTTCCCGTAGCAAATAAATAAAACCCGCCATCTGTGCGGAACACACCGGAGAGGTAGGATATCAGCTAGCAATTTCTCCCCCTGAGTGAAGAACGGGCTGACAGACGTTTCCG